CCGATGTGTCGCTATTGATATCTCCCACTTTGGCGGTTGTGCCACCACCGGAGCCTGCTAGACGAGACGACGAGCGTCGCAACAGAGGGTTCGACGAGTTCGGCGGTGACACGATACTGCATCCTTTAGAGTCCGGCACTCCCGCCATTTTTCATGTCGGTGCACCGTGGGCAGTGGATCAGGGGTTGGCGGAGGAGGTGGCATAAAACCGTCGTGGCGGACCGCCCGTCGCAGCGCAACGTAGTCTGGGAGGTTCACTAGAGGCAGCGTCTGGAGATTTTGTGGCGCAGGGGGGTGATGGTTCGCATCAGTTGTCGGACGGCGTGTCATCGGTCCGTCCACCGGACGAGGGCGAGCAGCGAGAGGCACATCGAGGCTCGATGGAGACTTTAGAGGAGAGGCATCCCAGAGTTATCCGCTCGGAAGAGGGCGTGGCCCATGATACGACACAGCCACGGAGCACAAACGCTGCACGGTTCATCGGGGAGGGCATCGAGCGCATAGGGTCATCGACCACACACGACGTTGGAGGAGGCGGGGGCGGGGGTGTGGGCGGCGCAGACGCGACACGGTCCTTCGAGGAGGGCATCGAGCGCATAGGGTCATCAACCGCACACGACGTTGGAGACGCGCACATAGATGAGCCTCGACCGCATCTGATGGGGATGCGTGACATCTTGCGTCCACCACCGTCACGCTCCCCTGCCGCTGACCCCGTCGCCCACAGGCAGGCCTCGCAGAGCGCATTGCCGACGAGGTCTTTCTACGGCGGTGCGGCCATGGACCGGAGGGCGTGCGATATCGGACATGCATCATCATGCGGACCGGCAGATGTGCCCGCGGGGGCGAGATTGATCGGCAACGTCGATGGCACTTGTCACGGTTCCATGAGAGCTTACGAGGAGCAACATGGGAGGCCTATACGGGCCAAGACGACTGAAGTCCTTGACACCAGGACGGCTTCTGCAAGGCTATCACGAACGAGGAAGAAGGGAACAGGTGCGTCGATTCCGTATCACCGGCGCCGCCTGCATCCTTTTTTCTGCAACCGTGACGAGACCGGACAGATGCCAGCTGCTGCAGATGGACGGGGCGGGGTGGACGGAGGTGACAGAGTGGACGACTCAGGACGAGGTGAGAAGAGACGAGGTGGCACGATGATCATCCACGACGACAGCTCCACAGCCGCTGAGGGTGGTGAGACCACAGGCGCCGACGACCCTGATGACTCCGATTACGTCCCGAGGATCCGGACAGCGGACAGAGACGACGGCGGAGGTCGTCGCGTGAGGATGAGGACTGGACCTGGCCCGGAAGGTCATTGCACCCCATCGGTACATTTGCCGCCTATTGATCCACGGGCGCGAGCTCGTTCTCTGTTGCGCGGAATGGAGGCGCAAAGAGAGAGAGAGAGAGAGAGAGAGAGAGAGAGAGAGAGAGAGAGAGAGAGAGAGAGAGAGAGAGTCTGTGTGTTCAGTGTTCACTGCTCTCTATCATTCTTTGTTTGGAAAAGGACTGACCGAGATACCTGCCTATATGGAAAATTTGCGAGGTACATATATCATATATGTAAATATAGATATCAGTACCAACTTCATTTTCCCTACAGGCTACAGTAGACTGCTACCCAAACTGCAAATAGCAGACCAGGGCTACCCCTAGGACAGACAGGCCCTACGGGCCTATGCTGATAGACGGTCCTATATCCTATAGCCGGGTAGGGTTAGGCCCTAGAGGGCCAATAGAGGCCCTAGAGTCTCTACCAGGCCTGTATGGAAAATTCACGAGGTACATATATCATATATGTAAATATAGATATATGGGCCCAGTACCAACTTCATTTTCCTTTCAGGCTACAGGCTACTGATACCCAAACTGCGAATAGCAGACCCGGGCTACCCTTGGACAGACAGGCCCTACGGGCCTATGCTGATAGACGGTCCTATAGCCTATAGCCGGGTAGGGTTAGGCCCTAAAGGCCAAAACTGGTCAGTCAATGTGGTCTAGGTCGGTCTAGGCTATGTGTAGATTATAGATAGGATGTGGACACCAGAGGTCTGATGCGTTGGACTACATGCTGCACTGCTGAGTCAGTGCTGACCCTCCTCAGGAGTAGGGTCCCGGGCTCCCGGACTCCGTGTGGCGATCCAGCCATAGCTGCATCTTCTCAGAGATTCTCATCGTCTGGACTTGATCTTCATCAGGTACTGTAGGCGGTGAGCTTCTACTTCATCATCTGACTGGCGATCGTCGATTGGCTCTAGGAGCCCATTTCACTTTCGCGCAGGCCACTGAGTTGGATGTCAGGGTGGCGCTGGGCCGCTGGCCCGTTGCATGTTACCTGGGGTGTTGGGGAGGCTGGGGTTTCGTAACTTTCGTTGCTGTTTTTAGCTGTTCAGGGTGTTGGGGTTGAGGCGCTACCCCTTTCAGGGTAGCGCAACAGGGTTCTGAACTTCTGAGGTTATTTTAGTTGAACGATGCTCTGAGTTCAATAAACAGTGTTAATACTGTGTTTGAGTTGTCATCTCTCCATTGCTTTCTGGTTGTGAATCTTGCGATCACTCAGTTGTTATCTATGAATGATTGTTGTGGAGAGAATTCACTGAATTATGTATTCTGTCACTTCACTTCTCTGAGTCTTCCGTTGAGTTTCTTCTTCTGGGCGGCGGGACACTCCAGTACCTCTCCCCCTTTTTCTGTGCTTGTATGGGCGTGCACGGGAGTTCTGGTGAGTGAGTGTTGGCCAAAGTTCAACAGACAGTCATGTTCATAGCATATGTGTGTGTGTGTGTGTGTGTGTGTGCGTATGTGTTTGTGTGTGTCTGTGTGTGTGTGTGTGTCTGTGTGTGTGTGTGTGACGGCATGTGTGTGTGTGTGTGTGTGCGTTTTTTTTTTTT